ACCAAGCCAGGTTTGTGAACAAAAGACAGTTATATAACACCGCACAATCTGGGCTCTTTTTACAAGGCTGAAGGCCTGGCTGAAATACTCAGGCGTCAATAGATTTTGTCTGTCAGGCTAGAGGGGCCACCAGACAGTCCTTCACATGTTTGTAAGTGTCCAGTAAATGAAGATAGGAATTTTTAAAGAATTTTGAAAACAGAAAAAATGATAAATATCCCGGCCCAGCATCATCAACATTGATAATTGCCCCGGCAGGAAGTGCTTAGGTATGACTTCTGCCAAAGACACCCAGGAGCATTACAGTTAACCACTTGCCAACCGTATCATTCCACAACGAGTTTGTCCAAAGCACAGTATTCTTTTGGGCTGAAAATAGGACTTTTAAAGACAAGATAACACTACCAAAGTTTATTTACAAAGTTAGACTTTATGATTGTTGACCCTTAATAATCATCTGTTCAAGATTTGCATGTTATCAGTACTTAACTCCGAAACAATGTCAGAGAGCAGTGTTTGCTACAACACTGAAAATCCATGGATTATTAGGAGCCTGTGTGTGTGTACAAACTCAATGGGAATCACTCAAGCATGGAAACCAGCCCAAATATTACCCAGTACTGCATGCAGAAACTGACATGCTGTACTTAAATATCCTACATGTTTAGGGACAGCGGAAATCCCTGCACATCTAAAAGTCACCTGGCATGAAGTGGTTAATTACTAAAGTTCACTTCTATTATGTCAGTGTTGAGAAATGCTTGTCTTCAATGTGTACATCAGTGAGATGCAGCTGCATAACATCTTACTCAATGATGCCCGCATCTTCTCCTTGCCTCCTCATCTCATCTACGTCTTTCTCCTCCTGTCGCTCCTCCAGAAGCTCCTTCAACCTCCGTCGCTCGTTCTTGTCCATTTCCTCTTGCTTCCACTTCTTCTCCTGGTTGTCACGTCGACGGGGATCCCAACTCTTCTTGAGATTCTGGAAGAAGAAAGATGGTGAAATGAACACTGGTTACAGTTTCAATCACAGCACAGATTAAACAATTTAGACTGCATAATGAAACAGCTTACCTGTACAAGACTTTCACATCAAACATGAACATTCAGCTTTCAGACAAATAACAGCTAAAATACTTTTATTCTTTGTGTGGTTTGAAACAAATCTCTGGCATAAACGTATTGCAAAACAAAATGAAGACAAAATTATGCAACTATGCTTGAATTCCCAAAATTACTTTGCCAGAAAATAAATACCGAGATTCCTTAAATTTTAATAAAATCATGAAATGAGGAAAAACGATAACACCGTATGTTGCATCTGCAATCATCAAAATATTAAATCACTAAATGAATATGCCACTCTTTATAAAATCCAATCACTGACTATCCATGTCGTTCTTGAAAAAAACCAAAGAAGCCTTACCAAATCTCCTCCACCCATGGTCTTGCTGTTCTCACTTGCCTTTTGGAATATTGGATGCAGTCAGGGAAGAAATGCAACCTGAAACAAATTTTAAAAAGCCAAAAACTAACAATCAAATTTTCCCACTCATTTCAAAGATGGATTTGCGCCGGGGAGATGTAAATTAATTCTGGATTTTGCCCTGCCCACCAGCCGGCACCGGCAAGCTCAGTGGTTGAGTGGTTAAGACGTCTGCACTGGTAAGCAGGAGGTCGTGGGTTCGAGTTCCACCCGAGTACGCTTGTGGGTTCTTTCACAAGCCTTTGGGGGCATACACCGAGCATACAGTGTTAAAATACGCGTCGGGCATGGCAAAATCCAAAATTAATTTCCAACTCATGCATTGGCCAATCATGCATGTACATGTACTCTTACATCATCAAGGATAATACACAAGGAGCGAGCCATTCATGGGTGAGAATTCTCACCCCGAACGGCATGCTGCAGAGTGTATTAACCTACATGTACTTAATACCCTCTAAGAACTCGTCGCTGTTTACACAAATGTTGTGTTTTTGTATAATTGGAAAAAATGCTGTGACCGAATGCAGACAATACAATCTTTAAGCTATATCAAGTAAGCTGTGCTGGGATAGTTTCGTAGGCTACATTGTTGTGTTTGTTCTATGGGTTTTTGTGCTCTAGCTATAATCTGAGATGTCAAATAGGGTGATTCAAACGGCACCCTGCTAGTTTCGTTCTGAAGGCTAGCTTAACATGGCTAGTTCTGACAGTGATTGCGGTATTTTCCTTACACAAAACAAATTTCGCTCTGACACTGAAGATTTTGCCAGCGTGTCAGATGCCTCATTAAATGTAGAAGACATCCTATCCCAGTCTAAAATAAAATATGAACCAATAGCGCAAGACATTTCTGATGACGAGCTATTGACAGCGACCCTGGTCGCTGAAGCTGATGACAAACCGGGATATGCTACCCTTGCAGACGTTGCAGGGATCTACAAATGATATAAGGACCCAAAAGCAGACTTGGAAATGGTGGACATTGGAGGAAGAAGGTAAATGTTAGCTGTTTATTTACTGCGAGAAGTAAAAAGTACTTTCGATAAAAGTTTTTTTTGCAAGATTCCTAATTCTCGTCAAAGTTACAAGCTTTCTAAGAGTTTTTTTGTGTCTGAGAAGACTAAATACAAGGGTTACGAAAAGTGAGAACGTCTTAAATGTTAATATTTTACATTTACAAATTTGCTAAGAGTACAGAACGGAAAATCTAGTGGGCCGTTGATTTGTTTCGTGATTGGCACGTTTCACAACATGAAAGCTGTCTGTAATGCATCACTGAACATCAGCCCCATTAAGGTGGATTTGGATAACATGACCAAAGAGCTTAATTACTTGCAATTAAGATTCACATGTGAGGTGAAAAAGAAGAATAGTGAAGACTACCCAGGGGAGACGCTTCATGAGCTTTTGATTTACGTTCAGCTTTAGTTTGTGTTAAAAAAAGCAAAAGCTACAAGTTTTTGTCGGATCCAGATTTCCTACAGCTGAGAAATACTTGACGGACTTATGAAAGAGCGAGCAAAGGCAGGTTTAGGTGTACATCGCAAACAAGCTGAGGTGATTACAGTCGAGGAGGAATTTACGATGGAAATCGTCGCAACTTCAAAGTAATAGTGACAGTAATGGTGACAAGTTCTTGACGTACACAGAGGATGCTTCTAAAATCAACCATGGCAGCTTGAAACATTGTCACCTTCAGCCAAAGGTCGTGGATGCGTACGAGAGCAAGGAAGACAGAGAGCAGTGTATTGTTACACTGTTCAAGAAGTACGAGCATCACTGCCCTCCTGAATACAAATGACCAGACGCTTTTTGCTTTTGACCACTGGCTCAGCCGAGAGGACAGGTTTGGTATGCTACTCAGCCACTTGGCCTTCACAAACTGGCCCAGGTTGTTGCCCAGGTGTGCAAACAAGGAGGACTCGCTGCTTACTGTACAAATCACTCCCTTCGGGCCAGTGCTGCCTTGCATCTGTAAAAGGAGAATATTGCCTAAAAGCTTATCTGTGAGGTAACTGGACATAGATCAAATGCTGTCTAAAACTAGAAACGCACATTAGACAGTCTCAAATGCAAAGCCAACTCTTGTACATGGTCGTGGGTGTAGTGGCATCATCACAACAGCCAAAAAGCCTGCCACTGGCACTTCTGCTACAACATCTTTTGGGAGTGCGAATTTAGAGAATCAAGACTCTAGAAACATTCATGTAACTGTCACTGTCAACTTAAGCATAGAAGTATTTGTTGCCAAGCACCAAAACAGTAATTGTTTGCCGATTTTGAAATGTTTTACAGAGGTGAAGTGAAATGACATTGGTTTTTATATACATGTACACAGACTACGCTAGCTAAGGTTTATACGTTGTGAAGTAAGCACTGAAATTAACCCTAACACTCCTCAATGCTTCACCTGTTGGAGGACTGAGGAGTGTTAGGGTTAATGGTATGAAACTTGTGCCAGATAAAGTAAAATGTTGGTTGAAAGTGTGCTGGAGGCTAGAATTGAACTGCATAATAAGTTCTTGTACTAATGAATTAAAACGTATTTAAGGATGGAGAAATGTAACTATGTTGGATAAAATGTAGTCTATCAAGGGATACTTAGTGTAACATAAACCTTGAGCCAGTCGATTAAATTGTGGACTCTGTGATATATCATATTCATTTTTTGTTTTCAAGGCATGCGTTAACTGAAATTTTTCATGGTATGGATTAACTTTAGCTTAAATGTTGATCTGTAAGCGACCAGACATGGGTGTTATTGATACCGGAACTTCTTGTTTTGTAATGTGACAAAGGTAAAGATTGTAATGGGTTATTTGAAATAGCTTTATAATGCACAAAAGCTCATAATTCACACTCAAAGAACACAACCCGACAACACTGTTCTTTGAACAGGATCACACACCGGTTCCCTGTGGGGGTTGCATAGGAATGTGCTGAAAACTATTGAGATTTGATTTTTGAACTAACTAATGAGATGGCTAATTACAAAGCCACAGACAATGGAAAGTTTTGCCTAATAGCATTAATAATTTTCCATATCAGAGAAATGAATGTTTGTTTTTAAATGGAAAAGAATTTATCCCAGTTATCAAAACATTAACTCTCAAAGAATGTACATGGACTCCGCCGTTGCATGTTGCTTGCCACTGACTACCAGCGATAACCGGTTGTACGTTCCCGGCATTCGAGCGGCTGACCCTCAAACAACAAATCAAGCTGTTCGTGAACTACCAGAACAAGCTGTCCGAACTCAGCCAAAGAGCCTAAATTATTAAAGAGGTCTTTGAATTAAATGTAAACTAAACAGTGACTTTAGTCTGTAGAGCACCATTCGTAAGACACTGAATGATATGCTTCGCTCCATTTGAGCAAAATAATGGCAAGACAGAATAATAGTGTGACATCACAGGACAGTGTTAATAACTCCTATCAAAGTTTGATACCCAAATTGAGTTTATACTAATATCAATTTCAAAAAATGAATTGCTAATACAAACAGTAAAATCTTGTACACACACAGACTCAATATGATTTCTATGATGCCCACTGATATTTCCACATCTGGAAAACTCAAGATCCATTTTTCACATCAGATCATTATCCAGTAGCAAGTTCGTCAGACATCGACACCATATGGAAGTCTATGCACATGTAATACTGCACAACTTGGCCATGTTAACATGACAACATTTACCGGTAGTTGAAATTAAATTAATGACAGTGCATATTGGACCATGAACTGTACCTGATATAATGTGCATGATCATATAGTCATAAGGTCCCTTGTTTCGCCACTTACTCTGAAAACCTACATGTATCAGGCTTGGCAGTACATGTAGGTGGCAAAATTAGGGATCTGGCGACGATACTGTCACGCACGTTACTTTTGCCGTTGTATTGTGTGGACACATCAGCAGAACATGAGCAGTCACATGTACATGTACAACTGTAAATGTTTTTGAAGGATTACATGTACATTACGTTTTTAACTTAAGATGAATGAATGTAAAGATTAATGTTCTACTTGTTTAGGGGTGTAATGCACTGCAACAAGGGGTTTCCCATCAATACAAGGGATTCACAGTAGCGTGCCTCCAAGAGTTTGCAACACATTGATCAATCACAGTGCACAAAATCTGTCAATCCAATGTGGAAAGTGTCAGCAGATTTTGCGTTATGATTGGCCAACATGTTGCGAACTCCTGGAGGCACACTACTGTGAATCGCTCGTATTCCTGAGTCCAGGTTATCAATTATTATTATTGTGACCAATAAACCAATCTTATAGACAGAATTATATTTTAATAACCCTATCCGGTTCATGGGTGACTTTGTCATACATGTAGACGAGCCATGATTTGCAGTCTACCACTGGACGATTGCTGAAGTTGAGTGTTAACTTCCGGTTCCATCGTTCCATGTAAATATGATCAATACAGGTAACTCTATACACAGGACACGTGCAGTGGGTGTAGTTTGAACTGAAGTGACGTCACACTTAAGAACCGGATAAAAACATTGTAACAGTAACAATGCAGTACTTTATACATTTATTTTACAAAGGTATTTTATAGGGGCACTGATGGTTGTCAGTGAAAAATAAAATCTCAAAATGGATGAGATCGCTACAAACTGCTGACTAAATAGAACTGAACTACATGTAAATCAATCCAAAAGTTAGTGTCCTAACGTTCTGAACTTAACTAAGTTCGGAACGTCAGGGCACTAACTTCTTGATTAAAAATAAAAACACTCAGTCTCATAAATTCTGATTGTTGGAAAATGTGGAGACTTCAAAGCTGTACTTGCTTGTGCCAATTTATTGTCGGCCTCTCCATGAGAGTGTAAAATTAAAATGCCAAAACTAGATGTGACTTATTAAACATTTATGTAGCCACAAATAAATTTGGACACTTGATGGATTTATGCCTTGAGCAAATTTTTACAAGCACAAATTGCAACACCAGTCCAGTTCCGCTTATTCAGCTTCTGACATGCCCTTGACCCCT